TTTTTTTTTTTTTTTGATGTCTTCCTGAGCTTGGGAGCAGGGATTGAATGGGACAGAGCCACACAAGCTGCTGACCAGGTAGGAAGACTGGAAATGGACGCAGTTTTACAGTACTTAGTTGGACCTTTCATAGGCTATCACTTCTGTTGTCCATTCCCCCCTCGCCCCCCAAAATAAGAGCTGGAAGTTGGCTGTGCAGGCCCCTTTAGTCAATCTCTGTTGAGAACAGGCAGGCCGTGAGCCAGTTCGTGCTCCCTCCAATACCTCCTGACCTATGTATATTTAGTATAGCCATAGTCAAAAATAACTGGGAAGATATAAATACTAGATTACAGGCGAATTTGGTTGAGACATAAAGGGACTTTCAGTGACAAAGGTAACAGCCAAAGAACTTTATGCGATCTAATTTTGCTAAAGAAAAGTCTAAGGTTAACACATCTGTGTCTAGTTCATTCTTGGGACTGAGTCTCACTTTTTCTATTTACATGTGAATATTAATACACAAAGCAAAAACACCTGATCAAGTGGTAGAGAGCAAGAGAGGACACATTTCAAAATTGTACTGTCTTCCATTTAAAAATGAAGTGTCAATTGAATTCAGTTAAATAATGGCCAAAGGGTAGAAAACTGCAATCTGTTTTCCTTTGTCCATGACAGGCCTCTTCTGTTTATCTGTTTATGGCTTCTATTACAAAGTTGATCAAGAGATTTGTGTGTCTTACGTTTTGCTCTCAACAATTTCACACACCCAGAGAGAATTGGCCTTGCCTGTAAAAGCAGGTTAATCTAAAATGAAATTATTAAGGACACTGTGCTCACAGCTTTTGTGATATACAAAGGAAAATGAGAGAAAGGTCCACTTGATATATGGGTCAGAATGTTATTTTTTGTGTGTTTTTGAAATTCTGACCTCCTTATTTAACCAATCATGCTCAGAATGACCCTGATTCCAGGGGGGAGGGCCATGGCATTATCTGGAAAACTCTTTATGTAATGCTGTCCAAGTAAAGTTAATCAAAGTTGTTCCTTTTTCATACGTTTTGAATTTTGAGCATTTTTAAAATAGTATGCTTGATTTTGTTGTTGTAAAAGGAAAAAAAAAAGGCTGTACACTGAATTGGTTAAAGCTGAAAATATCTTTTCTACAGAAATGCTAGCAAGATGTGTGTGCATTATTCCAGTGTTTCTCAACCTTGGCAACTTGAAGATGTCTGGACTTCAACTCCCAGAATTCCCCAGCCAGCATTCGCTGGCTGGGGAATTCTGGGAGTTGAAGTCCAGACATCTTCAAGTTGCCAAGGTTGAGAAACACTGCATTATTCTAATGTGAAATCCTTAAAACGATAAGCTTTTTAAATGACCAAGTGAATGGTCAAATGGCCCATAAGACTGTCTGTATTGTCCAGTACCAAAGACTGATGAATCTTTTATGCTTTTTACCTTTCAGGGTCAGAAACGGTATTATCAATTCTAATACCCGCTATTATTTGTACCATTTTCGTTTTGGGGTTGGGTCAGATAAATTCAAATTGAATACTGAAAATGTAACCATCTGAAATTTTTTTGGTTTGTACAAAACCAAATGATCTGTGCTTTTTGTAAACGTGAGGAACCAAATTGTGAAAGCGTTCCATAAATTTACTATAGTATAAATTTACATAAAGCATTTAATTAAACGTGAATAGTTTCCTGCTTTCCTTTTTGAACAATTCATTTCAGTCTCGTGCGGAGGCTTCGCAGGTACATTTTACTACATAAAACACATTATCCTTTTAATTCTGTGCTTGTAGTTAATATTTTCTCCTACTGTCTAAATATTGGCAACTCCCACCTCCCTTATTGCTTTTAGAGAAACCAGCATATAATGTTGAATTCAAAATGGCAGAACTGCTAACAATACTTAAAATTTGGTAATATTTAATTACTGATTCTTAAGTGCTTCGTAATAATAAAGGCTTGGTTTGTCTCTGAGTAATTGGCAAGTGTTAAAATACCTACTGAGAGCCTTAAACTTTGTCCAAATGTGTTGTTACTTCACCGATTTACACTGACTTTCTGGGAAACTTTTTTTAAAAAGTGTTCTGTAACACACTGTTGTGACAGAAGCAGTTAACCTGCTTTTTTTTGTCTTTAAAGTTTCCATATGGCACTTTGGCTTACTGCAGTTGTGTCACCTCCTTGGAATTTTGATAGTGTAGTTGCGTATTAAATTATACTATCTCACTAATAAAAACCTGATTCCGTCTTGATAACATGCATTAAAAAAATAAAAAATTCTAGAGCAGTGTTTTTGAAACCTTTTGGCAACTGTAAAGTCCTGCCGTGGACTTCAGTTTTCCCAGACTTCCCCAGCCATTTCCAGGAGTTGAAGCCCACACATCTTAAACCTTCCAAGTTTGAAAAACACATATTGTTCTAGTCTAGAGGTATCTGTGTTGTGCCTACAGCTGTCTATGCCAGGCCATTTTCCCCAAGGATAGAGCAGGAATTGGTCAATCCCAAAGTACCTCTATAGGATGTTATTTGTTCTAATTTGAAGATCACAAACGAAGGCTACTTCATGTTCCCAATACTTCCGATTCATGCTGAGTAATGTTTCAGCAGCTATTTAAACAGAACAGATATTACACAGGACATGGGCAGTGGGAAAGAGAATCATTTTAGATACGCACATCCCCATGCACCACGACTTTGGGGACAATTCAGAGTTAAGAAACAAAACGGATCGATTTATATTGTTTATTTAAATGGACATTTTACAAATATACATGATGACTTCCTTTGGCACTTGGAAATCCAAACTTCATAGTGGCGTAATGAAATCTAAGGCATTAAATGCAGTCTTTAAAAACCCTGCTTTGAAACATACACAACATAGCACAGTTTTAACAATTAAATACTCCGTTTTATATAAATTATTAGTAGCAAACCTCAAATAAGAGCAGCACCACAGTAGAAAAATAAATTGGTAAGTGATCTTTCAGTTTAATTTTTAACTAGATATTATTAAATACCATTAATCAGATCTAAAAAGATTCTGAATTTTGTTCTGTTATCTATTGTGTGCCTATAGATGATTTGAATAAGTCCAGAAGTGTTAAGTTAATTGGAATATTAACTGTCATTCTAAGCTGTCAGTATAACGCTGCAAAACAGCAAAATATTACTCTACAATATGCTCCAATATTTAAAATGAATAGGTTGTAGCAATAAGTACAATAATATTTTAATCCCAATATTTCATTATTGGGATAGGAGCCGAGGTGGCGCAGTGGTTAAATGCAGCACTGCAGGCTACTTCAGCTGANCTTGGAATTTTTGCTTCGAGCAATGTCCATTAACTTAGTTTCCTTCTTAAATTGTGTTTTTATTGTAATGATGTCTTTTACATCAGTTAGGTAATTATGCAAATGCAGTAGGTGTAAACGATGGACATTTGGATCTAATAGACACTCCATTCTCTAAAGCAGAGAGGGGTCAAACTCATGGCGTCATGGCGGTGTCGTGACGTATCGTGGCTTTTTTCCCCTTAAAAAAACTGGACATGGGCGTGGCCAGTGCGTGATGCATCAGTGCGTGATGCCTTAAACGTTATGGCTACAATATTTATATTATAGACTATCACACCTTCTATTACATTTGCAGAATTAGCTTTTGCATTTTTTAGTCCCCAGTTACTTTGTTCCAAAGGCGTTTTGAATAACTGCTATTTTTGTTTTAAGTAGCAATCTAAGTACAAAGTTATCAACAAGGACCAATGGTGCAATGTTCTGGAATTCAGCCGATCCATTAATCTTGACCTCAGCAATTATGACGAAGACGGAGCATGTACGTATATATGTGGTCAGGAAAGACAAAGAATCATTTCACATCGTATCTGTGATCTCCCTCTGCCTTTTTGTGTTCTTGTAATACATATATATTTTTTTACAAAAATGTTTCCTTCTTTCTTTAAAGGGCCAGTGTTGCTGGATGAATTTGTGGAGTGGTATAAAGAGAAACAAATGACATAGGAATTTTAACTATGCACAGCTGCTCAAGAGCCTTTGTACTACAGTTAATGTCAACCATTAGCCATAAACTTCTCTTTGTATATAAAGCGCATGAGGCTTTTCCTGCACTGTATCCCATTTTCAGGGATTTTTTGGGGGGGTGTTTGCTGTTTAACAGGCCAGCTCTGCTTGCTGTGTACCATTGTTCTCTCCGGAAGGCTGCTTTGCATTTTGTCTCTACACTACAGATGGTGAATTTGCCAGCATCCTCACTGTGACTAATGTGAATATTGATGTCTAAACTTTGTATATGTGTATAAAAAAAAAAAAGCTTCATCTAGGAATGATTTCAGCAGGAAAGGTATTATAAAAAATAATTTTGTCACATTCAGGTAACCATGTAACTTAATTTTTAATTGGTCTCGGGCATAGCACTTCAGGGAAAGGGATGTGGGAGGAGGAGTTTGCCTAGGTGGAACTATTGCTGGTTTAGTAATAGTTGTTTTAGGATGCCAGTTTTTGAAGAAAAATCTTGCAGAATGGTTTCCTTGCCAGTTGCCCAACTTCATTTTTATTTAATAAGCAATTATTGGCTACCGTTTTAATTGAAGCTCTTAAAGAACTTGTTACAGCTTGAACAGAGTTGTACATGCCATTTTCCCTTTGGCGATGATGCTGATGTCCTTATAGTCAGATGCTGTAATTTGCAAAGAGGTTCAGGTTAATCGAATTAAACATCTGATTAAAAAGGGTTTTAGACTTGTAAACGTGGCATATTCTTTTATTTTACTATTATTGTTCCCAGAGTGTTTTGATGATCTGGATAAAGACAGAATGAAGTCTTGTTTCAAAACACAGCCTAAATGTATGAATATATTTTCAGAGACTGGAATCAAAGCTTAGCCTGAAAATTCGGCATGGCTGCATTTATGTTCCAGGGATTGAATTTCCTGGCAAAATGCCAATTACAAGCAACATCTACTTTAATCAAGCAGCATCACTATTTATTTGGGATCATTTTATCTGTTTGGACTGGAAAGTTCAAAGAAGTAGATGAATGAAGTAACTTCCTGTGTCACCTTTTCATCAGTCTTCATAATACAGTTCAATGTACATTTCTTTTTTTTTTAAACTAAGGTAGCTTATAGACTTATTGAAAATGCATTCAAAAATCCATTAGTCTTTGTTCAATCAGCCAAGAGTTCATTGTGAAATTTGCAATAAAACATGAGCTTGCCTTTTCTTTTACAGAAAGTTAAAGCTAAATGAACATTCAGAATTTAGGAATATAAATTAGCAATAGCACTTAGACTTATATACCGCTTTACAGCCCTCTCTAAGCGTTTTTCAGAGTCAGCATATTGCCCCCAACAATCTGGCTCCTCATTTTACCCACTTTGGAAGGATAGAAGGCTGAGGAATCAACCTTGAGCCTGTTGAGATTTGAACTGCCAAATTGCAGGCGGCCGGCAGATAGCAGAAGTAGCCTGCAGTACTTCACTCTAACCACTTTGCCACCACAGCTCATCCAAATTAAGCTTTAATAACAAATTAGTACAAACCACTTATTTTTATTTTCAAAATACGGAAGATATTTGTAAAGATAAAAAAAACCCCATGTATATCATAAACACACATAGCTTCTTTAGGATTGGATACTTCTAAAGAAGTAAAATCAGCAAAACAAAGGGCTGGGATCCAAAGAGATCCACATGAAAATGTGAATTCTGCCTAGGAATGGAGCTTTTTTTTTTTTTTTTGATGTCTTCCGTATTTTGAA